TATATATCAAATCATGTCATTTTCCTGCTTTTAACCCTTCATTTGCTCCTTACTGCCTATCTGACAATGTCAAGGTTATTAACAATCCCACCCCTCCCACCCACGCAGCTGCCTTTCCTCAAAAAACAAACATGAGCATCACCTGCTTAAGACACTTAACTCTGAAGATTCATCAAACTGGCTTAATGGCTTGAAATATTTTGACAAGGCCAGTTTCATGGTACATATGGTGGGGAAAGAAGCACTTTATTAGACTCCCAGCCCTTTTGCTGATATATTCGGCAGGAGGGCCTGCTATATACCAGGTCCTAAGCAATTGGGAGTCAAAACAGACATGGACCTGTCCTCCCACAGCTTACAAGTCCCTGCCACCTACACACCAAACAGTAGCTAAGCTGGTGGCCTTTGGGTGACTACTTTCCTACAGGTGATCTTTTTTCCTTCCTTTTCTCCGTATTTACTAATTTCCTACTGTGATTAACATATATTACTTCAATAAAGTATGAAATAAAATACTTCATTTTTAATAAATTTTGCCTTTTACCTGCTAGTCTTTGTCCTAAATATCTTCTTAAGGTTTTAGTCTCAAGAACTGGGAAGGGTTACACTTTATAATATGCATTACTCTGGGTCTGAGAGACAGAAACTATACAGCAATTTAAGCACAGGAAGCTTAATATAAAGCGGCTGAGCTATGAAAGGAGAATAAATAGAAAGAGAACTCTCAAGGGTTCCCTAAGACTGAGGGAGAGGGCAATGGAGAGGGTAACCCCTCTCCTTAAGGCTGGGGTTCAGACCTCATTGGAGGTGTGATTGTAGTTTGTTGGGTGGCAGAAAAGTTTGTTTTGGGGCACAGCGCTCCCCAATCGCCAGACAAGCAGGAAACAGCCTACAAGGGTGGACTGAGGCCGATGAGAGGGGAGCTAGAGCCTCCAGGCTTAGGGCACGTGGTGTCTCCCTCAGGAAGGCAATGGAAGGTACTTACCAGGCCTGGGCCAGGACTGCAAGGTCACCAAGAGACTGCTCTGGGCACGCAGCTGGCACAGGGTGCCACAGGAGGTTCCCACACGCCTGCAGCACTCATTATGCAGCAGGCCCAAGAAAAAGCCAAAATCACGGCACATGGGAACCCGGAAGAGAAGCAACATTCCTCCCGCACGCTCCTCTAGCTCCCTCTGCTGGCAAGCCTTAATATTGCGCTCACTATCAAGTAGAAAATGCATACAGTTAGGTCCATTATCCCAGAGCAGGTACTGAAAAGAATGAATTTGAAGGTGCAAAGCAATAAATTGATAACTGACACATGCCACATTATCAGTCATTAGAGCAGATATTGGCAATATTTTTCTGTAAAGAGCCCAAAAGTAAATATTTTAAGCTTTGTGAGTCACACAGTGTCAAAACTATTCAATTCTTCCATTGTTGCACAAAAAGCAGTACAGATAATACGTAAACAAATAAACATAGTTGTGTTCCAATAAAACTTTATTTACAAAAAACATCCAGTGAGTGGATTTGGCTCACAGATCATGGTTTACCAACTCTTGATTTAGAACTTCAGAGTGAATATCTCCATTCAGCAAATAGGATTACATGGAGAAGGAAATGAACATAAGTGCACAGGGCTGAGGTGAGTGGTGGGGCAGAAAAAAGAAATAAGATGGAGATAATAATATCTGCATTTTATGGAGCTATTTTGGTCCAAATTAAGTGAGAGTCTTGAATTGAATATGTCCCCCATCCAATTCAAATATTGAAGGCCTAACCCCCAATGTGATGGTGTTTGGAGACGGGGCCTGTGGAAGGTGATTAGCTTATGAGGATGGAGCCCTCATCATGGCACAAGTGTCCTTATAAGAAAAGACAAGAGAGCTATCTCTCTGTCTGCTCTCTGCCATGTAAGGATACAAGAAGATAGCCATCTGCAAACCAGGAAGTAGGTTCTCACCAGACACCAGATCCACCAGCACCTTGATCGTACCCTTCCCAGCCTCCAAAACTATGAGAAATAAATGTTCAAGTTATATATAGTATGGTATATAGCATGTTATAGCAGCCCAAACTGACTATACTACATTAAGGGATCTAATAGGGTACTTAATAAATTATTACCTCTAAGGGTCTGTGCAAGACAAAACAACAGTCCACATTGTGCCTCACTCTTTAAAAAAGTTGAGGCTCAGAGAGGCTAAAAAACTTGATTAAAATCATACAGCCTGGCTGAGTCAACATCTGAACAGTCAGTTAGTCTGACTCTTAAGCCAACATTCCTCACCACCATGTCCACCACCGCACTCTCAAGGGGCAGGTGCATGTTCTCCAACTTGGCTGCTTTCTTTACTGGGTACTACAATAAAGTTGAATTTAAGACCCTTGATCCTTTGCAGAGTAGGACTCCCAAACTGAAGGAAATCAGTACTTAGCCTGTGTGAAATCCATCTCCTAAAGTGTCCGAGGCATTTAAAAACAAGAGGGGAGAGATAACTGACCAGCCAGTGGTGCCCAATTGATTGCCAAGCTGGTTTTGCTGAACTGGGTGGCTACATCACAGTCCTATTCCAGAGACCTCTTCCCATGCCCTCTCCTTCTATGGCCTTCCCAGATGAGAATCATTCTGTAGTCAAGGATGGAACACTTTGTGAACTTCCCCCTAAAAAAGTGCAGATACTTCACACATTTCCTTACTGATTCTGACCACACCTGTAGGTTGAGGTTTATCAAAATGAATGGTAACTATTTTATCACTGCTTATTGACAATGCATTAGTCTAGGTACTTAACATATAGTTTTTCCAGTTCTGTCAACAACCCTGGAAGGCTATTATTATCCCTACTTATCACAAAAATGTTTTCATAGCCAGCATTATTCATCTATGAGGTGGCAATTTAATGAGATTCTATGCAAAGAGGAAAAAACCAAAGTTGGGAGAGGTTGGCTTGCCCACCCCACTCATCTCCATTTGAATCCACATCTCACCAGATACTCTACTGGGTATGGAAATACGATGCATGGGATCCACTTCAGGATCAGAGAGCACCAGGTCTAAAACCCAGCCCCACCACTTACTGGCCAACTGACCATTGCTCCTTTTCTCTATTGAGAGCAATTTTCCATGGTATTTCTGATATGCTGTAAAAAAGGCTTTTATTCTGAACCATTTTTTCAAGGATGTTTGTATAGTAAACATCCTTATAATATAGAGTCTCCATTCAGGTCAGAGGGTAGATTTGTTTTCTGTTCAGGATAATAAAGATATTGGCTCCCTCTGGGGCAAATGTTGAACAGGTTTGCCAGGAGTCATCATTAAAAGATTAAGATTTACCAAGCTTTGGATCATTCAGCTGTGACACAAAACCATTATATGTACAATCTCTATCTGGGCCCACCTCTCCTTTGAGCCATGGAACTTGGGGAGCAAGGAGAGCTAGCAGAAACATGAACCTCATGCTGTTGTACCCTGAGTAACAGAGTCCTTTGTTTCTGACCCAGGAGTGTCTTATCTTCTGCTAACATCTATGAAACTGTGGCAGGCTAACATGATATCATGCAAGTAGGGTAAAATCTCAAACCCTTCACAATTCTTAACACTCTCATTCAAATGTCAAAAAAGTAACTCACTTTCTCACCTCCCATTAATCTCAACCTTCTACGGTTTGGCATCTGACCCCCACCACAATACTGAAGCCATTTTTGCCCTGGGCACCAAAGACCCTCCCACTGACCATTTCAGTGGGTATTCGATTCCAGGTGAAATCTCTCTGCAGCCTTATCACTAGGGCACTCTCTCCTGAAGTGCTCTATTGTTAGCTTCCAGAAGACCATGCTTTCCTGCCTGTCCTTACTGGTCCCCTTCGTGGATATGCATATATCCATTTCCCATAGCAGCCCCATCAATGCCCTTCTGCTGCTTGAGTTACTCTGCCTGCCCTTCCTGGGTGATCTCACTCATGCTGTTGGTTTTAGGAACCTCATATATGGTGATGATACCCTAAACTAGCTCCAGTCCAGACCTCTGACATAACTTACCCAGACATCTGCTGAGCAGCTCCACCTCAAGCTCCAGAAAGGAACCCATCTTTCCCTGGCCCTCCATACCACCTAATTCTGCCTCTTGGATCCATGCTTTCCATGTGTGTCACCCCCAGCCACCTCACTGCTCCAGGATGCCATCCTTCGCCCTTCACTGCTTCTCACACCCCAGAGCCGAGCTGTTTTTACTCTCTATTTCAGGAATGTGTACTCCCACTGCCCACGTCTCCTACTGTTGTTCCCCCTTAGGCCTCAATTCTTAGGTAACTGCAGTGTCCAGCTAACTGAGCTTCCTGCCTCCTCTTACCCTCCTAAAGTCCTCATTCCATTGCTGCCAGACTTATGTTCCTAAAATATATATATCAAATCATGTCATTTTCCTGCTTTTAACCCTTCATTTGCTCCTTACTGCCTATCTGACAATGTCAAGGTTATTAACAATCCCACCCCTCCCACCCACGCAGCTGCCTTTCCTCAAAAACTCCTCCCAACTGTTCACTATGGCCACTACCACTCAAAATAGGAGAGGAAAAAAAAAGAGTGAGAGGAGGTGGCTCAAAATAAACGGCACTAAGTGGTTTTAATTTGTATTCTCTGGAACCAGGAATTCCCAACATGTTGTATTAAACACTAGCCTACATCTTCTACCTGCTTCAGGCCTATCTAATTGTTCTTACTTTATCTTAAAAAATAAAATGTATAGTTTGGATCAGAAGCCATCTTTCTACTGTCAAGTTTGCTTCTCGGAGCTCCTGTGAGAAATAAGCCAAGTGATTCCTTCATTCATTCTACCCACTTAAGGAGCTGAAAGAACACCGTTTCTTGGTGAACGTATACATACGGACGTGTGTGTATATACACATATATTTTTTCCTCTCTTTTGCTCCAAGCGAACAAATCAACACCCTGGAATGTCCACCAGGAGGCGCTGGGGGCATGGAAAGACCTGCGGTACCTTCGTGGTGGGAGACGCGGCGATGGATGCAGCAGCGATGGAACCCGGCTTCTTTTTTTAAGAATCAGTGTGAGGGAAGGGAGCAGATCTGCGTTATTTTAGGGAGACCTTGTCGCACTCCCCCTCGCGCGTGTAGGTAGCGTCTGAGATGTGTGTGGGCCCCATGGGGAGACGCTGGCGGTGGCAGCTGGGGCTCCTACCGTGGCTGCAGCCGGCAGTAATCCGACCCAGCCAGCGCGAGGACTGAAGAGGCGCACGGAGAGCCTCGAGCTGCGAACAAAAGCCCTCGGCGCGGGACCGGAGACCGGGACATAAGGTAAGTGAACTGGATCCGGGATGGGGCATTGGCACCGCCGAGCTAGCTGAGCCCCAGAAGCCCACCTCGCTGGGATGCGGTGGGGATACCGAGAAGGCATCTGGGGGCAGGTGTCCGATCTCAGACTGGGGTGGATGGTGCCTTAGCACATTCAGACTTAAAGGGAAAGGGGGCATCCGGGAGGATCCAGGCGCCTTCTCCATCCCCAGCAAACACCCAGTGGGAAGGAAGAGGGAAGGCGGGCACTGCTGCTAAGAAGCCCTGCCCAAGAGGCAGGAGCAAGAACTGATCACCCCTCCCAGAGAGGCCTTTTGGAATTGAGGCATTTCTTTCAGTCCTTCCATTCCCGCTGGACCCTGGGCCTGGGTCTCCTTTGGTAAGGGGAAATCATATATCATATAAATCACCGGGCTTCTGAGCTGAATCTCAAACTTCTTTAGGCAAATGGGGCCCTTGCAGCAATGTACTTTGGCGATACGCAGGCCTCTTCCTTTTTTGTTCCTGCAAAGCTGCATTCCGGATCACCCGCCTAAGCTACAAACAAATAATGCTAATCCTCCCGGGATCCCTGGCAGGCTATACTGCCTGCACCGCGATCTTTTCATTTTAACTTGCAGCAGGAAGGAGCTGCATCTAGTGGGCCAGACGCCCTGGGGAGCTTGGCCACTGGCCTCCGCCCTGTACTCCGGAGCTGAGCAGATTGAGGCTGCTCCCTATTTACCAGTACCGGCCCCCAACCCCCGCCTGCGTTTTCAGGGCATCGGTATTATAATTTGCGTTCCGCCAGGCTTCCGAGACTAATCCCAAAAGGATTAAGTTGGAAAAGGGTGAATAGCAATGGGGAGGGGGAAACTGCCCTCAGATGTATTCCTTGATGTCCCTCCGTTGTCATCCGTGCAGACTCCACAAAGGAACAGAGCTCAGCCATGGTGGACCCCGTGCCTGAAGAAGAAAAGGCGGGAGCTGAGCCTGGAGGTCCGGGAGGGAACGGAGCCTCCGCGCCGGTGCTCGCTGACGCCCAGGGCGCCCAGCAGCCGGCTGCCGCTTCGCCCTCGGCTTCGGCCTCTGCGGCGGTGCCCCACAAGGCTGAAGTCCCGTGCGCAACAGAAGGTGGACGGCGGGAGCAATCTCCATTGCTGCACCTCGACCTCTTCAACTTCGACTGTCCAGAGGCGGAGGGCAGCCGCTACGTGCTGACAAGTCCCCGCTCGCTAGAGGCCTGCGCTCGCTGCGCCGTCAAGCCAGTGGAGCTGCTGCCACGGGCCCTGGCAGACCTGGTTCGCGAGGCTCCCGGCCGCTCCATGCGAGTGGCCACCGGCCTGTATGAGGCCTACGAGGCGGAGCGGCGCGCCAAGCTGCAGCAGTGCCGGGCTGAGCGCGAGCGCATCGTGCGCGAGGAGAAGCGGCGGCTCTTCACGCCGATGGGCCCAGCGGCCGCCGTGGCCGCGGCCTCCGCCCCCAGCGCGGGCATCTGCAGCAGCGCCAGCCTTCCGGCCTCGCCCGCGCCGCGTGCGGCCCGCAAGGCCGCCTCCAGTCCGTCCCCGGCCCGGACTCAACCTCCGCCCGCGAGTTCGCGGGCGGGAAGAAAGAGCCATTCGCTAGATTCGCTGTCCCGCCGGCGCGAGGGCGCCCTCAGTTCTGAGTCCGGCGCTTCGTCCTCGTCCTACAGCGGAGAGAGTCTGCGGGATCTTTGCTGGCCGCCGCGGGCCTCGGCCAGAAACAGCTGCCCGGCGGGGTCGGCCTCCCCCGCGTCCAACCCTCTGGGCCGCCCGGGCGCCCTCGCCCTGGTTCCACTCACCGGCCGCAGCTTTAGCCTCGGCGACCTGAGCCACTCCCCGCAGACTGCTCAGCACGTGGAGCGCATTGTGCGTCAAGTGCACGCCGAGCGGGGCCTGCGCGGGGTACCCGAGCGCGACCGAAAGATCGCGGCGCTCATGCTGGCGCGGCACCAGGAGGAGCGCCTGTTGCTGGAGCAGCGCGCCGCGGCCCACGGCCAGTGGGAGCAGCAGCGTGTGCGCGCCGAACAGCGGCGGGAGCGCGAGGAGCGCGAGAAGCAGCGCGCCCTGGAGCAGGGTCGCCGGGCCTGGGCTACGCAGGTGGAGGAGCGGCGCGGCCGCCGGGGCCGCGAGGAGCGAGAGGCGGCGCGGCGGCGGCAGCGGCAGTGCGAGCGCAGCGAGGAGCGGCGGCGGGAGCTGGCCGAGCACCAGGGCCTGCTGCGGCGGGAGCGGGCGGAGCGCGCGGCCCGGGAGGACCGGCTGCGCAAGCTGCACCAGGAGCAGAACCTGAAGCAGCGCGAGGAGGGCCTGCAGGAAGGGCGCGAGCGGACCGAGCAGGTCTGCAGGGAGCGCTCCCAGCGCGCGGCCCGCACCAAGCAGTGTCAGGACGGCCAGCTGCAGCGGGAGAAGCGAGAGCTGAGCCGGGCCGAGCGGGCACGCCACGAGGCGCTGCTGCAAGGCCGAGCCCGGCAGGAGCATGAGGATCGGGAGGGCCTGCGGAGCTCCCTGGAGGCCAGCTTGGGCCGCGCGCAGGAGAACTATGAGCATTTGGTGGAGCAGCGCACCCGGGAGCTGCGCGAGCGGGCCCGGCGGGAGGAGCTGCAGGGTCGGCGGGCCAAGGAGGCAGCAGAGCGCAAAGAGCGCGAGCATCAGGCGCACCTGAAGGCGCTGGCCCGGGCAGGGGAGCTGCGACTGCAGCACGCAGCGCAGGCCGCCGAGGAGGCGGTGCAGCAGAAAGCGCGGCGCGTGGGCCAGAACCGGTTGGAGAAGGAACGGGCCCAACGCGCCAACAAGGAGAAAGTGGAGAGGGACGAAGACTGCCGCCGGCGGGAGCTCCTCCAAGCCATCGGGCGCAAACTGGAGCGCAGCGAGCAACTGTCGCGCGAGCGGCGTAGCGCGCTAGAGAGCGCCCGCTCCACAGCCCGGGCCTCCTTCCACGTGCGCGAGAAGGTGCGCGAGGAAACCAACACGCGCTCCTTCGACCGCATGGTGCGGGAAGCCCAGCTGCGCGCCAGCCTGGACCGCAAATGACCGCCTCTCTGAGCCGGTCAGTTAGCCACGCGCAGCCCTGTGGAACCTCCCTTGGCCACTTTGACCCGACTGTGGGAATCTCCTGCCAGGGCGCTGCATCTTGGGCTCCCCAGGCTTCTGTCCAATGAGGCAATGAGAGAGGATGGACATGTGAAACCTCAGCCACTTTGTTTTTAAAGTCTGACTTCGTTTGGAAATGACAGCACAATCCGTGATCACATCTGCCCTTGGTTCCCGCACCAACCCGTGCCAAACTTCCCTGTGTGTCCTGGGGTTGGAATAGAAAAGAGCTGGGAGAAAGGGGCTGGGTCAGGACTAGGGAAGGAACCCCCAGGAGAGCCTGCAGAGGTGGTTGTCCCCTCTGCAACCATCACCCCAGCACCTTTCGCATATTGGTGTCTGAGGCGACTGAGGTCACTGTAGCTGAAGAGGCAGCTCCTTGGCTCACCTCCATTTAAGTATGGCACATTGCACAAAGCCTGGAAGCCTCGCAGAAAACCACAGCTCTTCAGAGGTGTTAGGCTGCACTCAGGTGGCCCAAAAAGCTATTGATTTTTGTATGCTTGACTTTTAATCTGCCACTTTAGCAAATTCTGGTCTTAGTTCTGATGGTTTCTCAGTCGATTCCCCTAGGTTCTCCAGTTAGACAATCATGCAAATAATGGGCAAGTTGTGTCTGTTTTCCTCTCTCCTAATTCTCCCAAGTGACACAAAAAATCGGTGGGTTTGGTGATGCTATTTAGCTTTATTGGAAGCCCCCAGCCTCTGGGGGAGGTGAATTCCATAGGCAGCAGTGTACCCACCCCCCTCCGATTACATTTGCAGGGTAATTTCCGGAGAGGCGGTGTCTGATGGCCACCTCCTTGTGTGGAGCCCATTCCTCAAAGACAATAGTCAGGCCTTAAGAAGCAGAGCTACCTTGTGTGCCTGCCCAGGCCCATCCTGCCCACATCTCCAGCCCTGGATGCCATCCCAAGGGCAGGCCCCTGGGATTTTGGAGTGTAGGATTCCCCCCGTGAGGGAATCATCACAGCTGCTCTGAGGGCAGGGTGCCGTGGCCGCTGGCACTGACTCTGAGTTATGCTTCACTATCATTAATGGTGTTGCTTCTCCTCCTCCCCTCCCTGACATGAAAGGAAAAGAGAATCTCCCTCCTTAAATTCCCCCATTTCCTCTCACCTAGGCCTGAAATTATTCAACGGTCTCTCTGTGCCTCACCTTTCCCAAGGGCCGGAGGGGGCCATCAGTACTCTTCTCCTGGTACCTCAAAGTCTCCCGGAGCCAAAGCACCGCCTCAGTATTATTTGTTGGTGTTCTTCGTGCCTTTCTTGACCTGGAGCCGGGAGGCAGGAGGGCTGCTGTTGGCCTCATTTGTTTCTGGGAATATGGATTCCTGGCATTGGAAGGGGCAATGTGTCCTGGCCAGATGGTCATTTAGCCTCTGGGGGAACATACTTGCAAGACCAGGCCACTCCCCAGTCCAGAAGGTCCCATTCCATTGTCCTCTAACTTTAACTGTTAGAGAATTTCCCTTCCATGGAGTCAAAATCCACTCCCAGCCATACCACCCACTGGCTCTGCCTTCATCAGGGAAGGTAGAAAGTAAAACATTACTTTTTACATTAAATCAGGATCAGGAAATAAAAGTTACCAAAAAAAAAAAAAGAATTAGAGTAGAGAACTGCTCTATTAGACATATTTCATATATATTCTGCTGGGCAGAATTGTCTCTAAAACGCCTGGTATTATACTCACCCTCGATGAATCCTCCCTCCCCTCAATCACATGTCAACAAGTATCAGAAGATTGTGTAGAAGGAATCAGTACTAAGGCAGTACACTTCAGCTGTTGTGAAACCAGGAAAGGAGCTATGCCAAGGTGTGCATCTTGAATGGATGAATTTTTCCCTCAAATTTTCTTCTTGTCAGCAACCAGGATAGTGCACTATAATAACTGGCATTGTCTGTGAGTGAGGTCTTAAACTAAAAGGTCAGTGTGATACTAGTTCTTACTTTGTGGTTCCTGACTTGCTAGAGAGCTTTTGAAACCTTGATAGAAAGTTCCACCTAAAATTATGTATTTCTGAAGTATGTGCGTTCACGTGAGAAGGATGGAACCTAGTTTTTTTGAATGAGGCACTGAAAGGTACATAGATGATCTTGCAGTTTGTTTTCTGACTTACTGAGTGACTGTGGGTAGATCACCTCTCTGGGCCTTGGTTTCCCTACCTGTAGAATGGGGATCATGGTTGCAGCCCTCTTGATACAGACACTGTGAGGAGGACTCACAATCTCAGCGGTGCTCTCAGCTCTACGACTTTGGAACTGCAGGTGGAATCACTATAAATAGAAAAGTTCTTGTGCCTGTACTAGGCCTACAGAGTGTAATGTACTGTTGTGACTTAATGCAGAAAGGAATGGTCTTGAAAAGCACATTACGGGTCATGGTATTACCTGTGAGGCAAAGGCTCAGGTCTGAATGCTACCAGATTAGAGTTTGCACTTACAGAAAAGCACTGTGGAAAGGAAAAAACTTTTAAAAATCCATATAGCTAAGTAGAATTAAAGCAAAAAGTACTAATAGTAAAGAATAGTTCTCCCAAATTTCAGACCATACTTTAGAGCCACTTTTATATTCTAGGATAAGTGACCATGTTACCCTTTGACGAGGAGCAATTTCCAGAATCCTTTGCTGGGCCGTTATGTATATTCTTCTCTAACAAGTGATGCCAGAGAGAAATGCTTCTTATTTTGAAATGCAGCAAGAGAAAATTGGAGGGGTGGCTGGTGGTGAGGATGGATGGAGAAAGGCTTACTTCCCTCTATGTGAACATTCTACCAAATACCTAGAATTTGTGTTAGAGCATCATTCTGGATGTCTTCTTACCATCCAGCAAATTGCTGCCTTCAAGTGGCCACAGACCTTCACCTTTGCCCCTTGGAAATCTCGTTCAAAAAAGAGAATGGGAAGGGTTGGAAGCAACTTTAGTTTGGCTTGTTAGGAAGGGAACAAGCAGGACAGAACTGCTTCAGGTGGAATCATTGGTGACGCTAGCCCAGGCTCCTGCTCAGGCAATGGCCAGTGCCTACACCACATCTGGACTGGAACAGGGGAAGTTCTTTTAGGAAGCACCCAGACTGTAAATCTTCACTGGGAGCAGTAACCCAGGTTTAACAAAGGCTACGAGTCTGTGGGGTAGTGAAGGCATAATGAGAACGCAGTTTGTGTTCAGGCCACTCTGTAAAGTCCACCACTTATCATTCCCTCTCCTTTAAAAAGTCTTTTGAAACATAGGGGTGACTGACTCTACATAAGGGGCTAAATCTTGTTCCTATTGAATTCCCTGTACCCATGGTTTAGCACCTCACATATTTTAAGCACATAAATACTGGATGGAGAGAGGGGTAGACGATGGATGGACCACGGGCAAATGGATGGTGGCTGGAGGAAATCTGTGTAGACTAGCTGGGGGTGGGCAGGCCTCCGTTCATCTGAGGAATTTGTATTGAACATCTGCTGTGTGCCAGGCACTGCTCCACTGCTCTGAATGCTGTGGAGACAGAGTCTCTGATCATTGACCCTGTGAGCATTTATGCTGCAGTGTCTTGAGCAAAATACCTTTGTTTCCCCATTGCACTTACCTACCTTCCCACTCTGTATCCCTCCACAGGCAGATGTGATGGTCCTTCAAGCACTAATTTCACACCTTTTCAGTTTCCTGGGGTCATGCCATTCTCTTTCCCTCAGAGGAGCCTTGATTAATCAGGCCAAATTCATAAGGTCATGTACTTAATCAGCTTTAAATTACAGTAAAAAGGGAGAGAGACATTAATTACCTTCAAGGGCATTATCCCTCATGCCTTTGAACAGTCAGCATAAGTAATGATTGAAAACTGAGCCTCAGGCTGTGCAGAGTCCCAGATTGTCAAAATGGGACACAAACCCCAGCCTTGGATTGTTCTTGTGAGACAAGAAATTCAACATTTCAGCAGCATTTCCAGTTTAAAAGTCCCAGCAGAAAGAGATTTCTGATCAATACTGAATGGATGAGAAAGTTTAGAGGACCACAGTGTCCCACGAAGACTTCCAGGTACTGAGGTTACCTGTATGTTGCTATGTGGACTTGCCTTTTCTCCATATAACCCCATCTCCACCCTGCGGGTCCCAGGGAAACATTTGGCAGAGGAATGTAAAGAAACATAGCATTTCTTGACACAACCCAGAAAGGGTCTTTGGGGGACCCAGCAGATAACTCTCAGATTGATAAATGTTTGCTGTGACACATTCGGCTTTGGGTGCCTGATGTGGCACTTTCAATATTACACCTGATCACGTGCTTGCGACTACAGAAGAGTGCCTCATCCGTCCGCTCACATATGTGCTGTCTTGCAAGGATCTCTGGTGCTCTCTCCATGGGAGCCTCCTGCCAGTTGCATGCATCCCCCTGCACACTCAGCCCTTCATACTGCCCCCTGGTGCGGCTTTGGCTTCACGTAGGTCAGGGTTGGGACAAAGGGTGGAGCTGGTAGCAGATGTTAGGATACAGAAGTGGAGGGTGATTTCTTTCTAAGGAACACTGGTAGTCATCATTTGCAAGGTTGTTACTGATTCATCAAATGCTGTTATATGTCCCATGAGCACAAAAATCTCGTCCAAGTGATTTTTCAATTAGCTGCCATTTTGAGGCATTCATGCCTTTCGTCCTGTCCTCTTGTACAGTATGGATGGCACATATGTATGTCAGACATTTGCACAATTCACAGGACCATCATAAAGATGATCCATATCTACCCCTGTATTTGAGTGTATGCATACATGCACAGCACACTCCTACTGATCTCAGCATCAGCATTTTTGCAGAGGTAGGGAACCTGCAGCCCTCTCATTCTTCCAGGGAAGGGTAAGCTCTGGGGAAACTGAGCTGCCCCTTGGTGAGAATCCATTTTGATTCCATCTACCTCCAGCTTCAAGACTGTTTCAAGTTCTGGCTTGTAAGCATGATGTCCATCTTTCCCA